CACCTGTGGGATTTCACATTGAGCAGCATTAACTACACAGAGCCGTTGTTCACTGAGGAGCTGCGCAAAAAATCGTGCGAATATGGACGTGGTTTTGCGCAGCTCGTTAGTGAACAACGGCTCTTTGTAGTTAATGCTGCTCAATGTGAAAGCCCTCAAGTGATGGAGATTTACCGCTGATTACAGAACCGGCTTCACTGATAAGATGCGCGTTAAATATCGCATGCGATTTATCGTGCAGCCCTAATTACAACCTACTTCTTTCTTCTCTTCAGTTCCACTACAGCTACTGAAATTTTTCAGTTCTTCTACAGCTAGAAACAAATGGCAACTTCTATGGAATTTAATCAGAGTAGACAGTATAGTTCATCTGAGGCCTTCAGGCCTTAAGCCCCATTCACACCAAGAACGATAACTATAAAGATAACGATATTAGTCCACACCAGCGAACAATATCGTCTGTTTATTCTAAGCGCACATGCGTCTGCCGCTTTAAATTCTCGAGCTCGTTACAGCAGGATGGATTCTGATTGGCTGTCAATTTTTTATCGTTCATCAGCTGGAGAAAAATCGTTTTGAAAGTGATTCCAACTATATAGTTTCTCTGTGCCTTTATCGTTATAGTTGTGGTGTGGACTCTGCTATTCTTTAATATTGAGAACGATTTTTAGAACTATATCTTTATCGTTATCGTTCTTGGTGTGAACGGGGCTTTAAGGTCTCATTTTAATGTTCTGGGCCTTTTGTTGAGTTAATCGTATAGTTGTTGAGTTACTGTCAGATATTCTAATTTCAGGTCTGTTCCTTAAACAGAGCTTGCTTGTTTAACTGGATAATTTCAGAATAACTTGGCATAAAGTTGCAATATTTAATGCTATAGTTTATACCCAATGGTCAGCAAACAGGTTTTCTAAATATGATCTCTTCAATGGTAACACAACAGGATAAAGTTTTGTAATGCTTTGAAGCACAGAAAATCCCTGGTTTATTAACATATCCTGCATAATTAATTATCCAGCTAACCAAGCTGTGCGTAAATAACCGGATTGAGGGGAAAAAGTTGTAACATTTTAAAATAAGATGAAATTAAGTTAATGGAGTAGGTTAATACTGTACTTTTACAACATTTATTAATGTTGGTTAATGATAATATCTACATTTTTGCCATTTTAGATTTTTAACATTTTATGTTGTGTAAATTAACATTAGTCAATGTATTATGAACAAGCACAATGAACAATATTATAACTTAAGCATAACATTCTTCTAGAATAATAAAAGCTGTAAAAAGTTCATTATTAGTTTATAATACGTTAATGAAATGAGCTACTAAAGTGTTACCAAAAAAGACATGCGCCAAAGACAGCAAGAGATACTAGACGTGCCAGTTGTAACCAGAGGAAGATGTTCACAAAAGCAGAAGTGAAGAGCAGTGCAAAACGCCAAACATTAACAGTGTCGCACAGAGAATGAAATATTTAAAAGGGACAAATCATCAAAGAAAGACGACAGAGAGAGAGAGAATGAAGCACAAAGACCACATCAAAATCAAAGATGTTCTGAAAAAAATGGCTAAAATTACTTTCCTTTGTGCAGTCCAGCTTATCTGGTGAGGAGACCCGAACTATCTACAGTATATGATTTAGAATGAATAAGAGCGAGTCTGTTTGTTGTGAGCTTAGATGATGAATTTGTATGTGACATAAGTTACTCAGTAATCACCAGAACTCTGACCCTGACAACACAACACAGTAGTAATATAAGAGCAGCTATGGGATCTCTCCTCAGGGAATTTTCAGGATTTCAGTAAGGAAAGCTGGTCTTAATAGGGACAAACATGTACTCTGACAATATGAACCAAATAGGGTCAGTAGAACCTCAGCTTATCCTCAGATTACACTGTCATCAAAACCCTTGTCAATCTTTTCCATGTTAACAGGATGGAAAAACCCCAAGCCAAAGGGGAATGCCAATGAAATCAATAAGCCAAAATGTAATTTAATAAAGAATTTTATAAACATTTGGTCTATATTGTCAGTGTCATACATTACAGCATTTTCAACAGGTGTTAGCTAAGAAATACTTGTATTGTGATTTAATCAACCATAACATAAAGTAAAACATTTATATCTTGACGTTATCTGATTACACAGACTTACAGACATGTAGTCAAAAAGGACCGATAGATAGATAGATAGATAGATAGATTACAGGCGCGAGAGAGCGGCGGCACACCTCGTGAATTATGTCATAAAGGTGCATCAGCTGAAACAATAGCAGATGACCGCGGCCTGTTTTCGCCTTTGATCGTCATGATAAAATCAAGTCATGTTGACGTGTCTGCGGCGTTAATGAAGGACAGAGGCTGTGACAGGCTCGAGGGGTGAGTGTTTACTGCTGAATGTACTGACCCAGTCCGCTGAGGTCCTGTCTGACGTTCAGGCGGTTCCGCTCGTCCGCGATGGCCTTCAGCATGTGCTGCAGGGACTGGTCCGGTTCGGCAGGATCATCGCTCTGACTCGATAGAGCTGCCATAATGCGCGCGGATGTCATGACACGATCTCACCGCTCATCTCACATGAACCTCACAGACCGCCGTACATGACACAACCGAGCACAACAACACAAGCGCTCTGCACTTCCGACAGCGGCGACGCGTTGCGTCGGGAACACCCCGTGATGTCACGCCGTAGGCGTCATTTAAAGGGGGCATGCCACTTCTAATATTACTGATCGCTCTCACCCATAGACTGTACTTGCAATATTATGAGAATATGGAACAGTCAATCAATTGTATTCTTAAAAAAATATTTTATTCATTATTATGTAATACTATTAATGATGAACATGAAAGAAACTAAACACTCAAAACAAAAGGCAATTGAAACAAACATGCAGTTTCTTTCATGTTTTTAGTTAGGATCTTTGTGCTCCCCTCTTGTGTCTGAACCTTGTATTAAATTAATAGTTTGCTGAATATATTGAATGTGTTTGGTATACAGGCTTAAAGGGGTCATATGATGCTATTTTAAAGATCATTATTTTGTGTATTTGATGTAACAGAATATGTTGACATGCTTTAATGTTCAAAAAACACATTATTTTTCAAATACTGTACATTATTGTAGGTCCTCTATGCCCCGCCTCTCTCAAACACTTTGTTTTCAACAAAGTCCCTCCTTCCGACAAGCGCAGTCTGCTCTGATTGGCCAGCTGACCCAGTGCATTGTGATTGGCCGAACACCACAAGCACGCGTCAGAAATGTAACGCCCCTTACCATAATCGCGAGCTTCAGCTTTCAAAGTAAATATCAAGACAGTTAATAATGTTGTTAGTTTTACCAAGAGCTTGTAACACTCCAAAGAGAAAGGAACAATTGAAATCGCATCCCCTTTAATAAATATTCATAAATGGTAACTCTTTATTTTAAGGTGTCCTTGTTACACGTTACATGTACTTACTATTATAATAACAATTAATTATGCATAATTAATTGTTATTATAATAGTAAGTACATGTAGTTAATTAATATTACTCAGTACTTAAATGTATAAATTCACTGTAACAAGGACACCTTAAAATAAAGTGTATACTAATAAATTATATATATTTAATGTTATCACTATTGCTAATAATAGTAATTGGCAATTAAGTATTTTTTTGTTAAATAATTTAAACCATAGTGTCCCTTTTTTATAACATGACAACTACATTGTCATATTTGTTATATTTAATGTTCTATTCAATTGTCTGATTTCTCTAACATGTTCTCTCTAAAATGAATTAGAATTGTTTATAGTATTTCTTTAAAAAGGCAGACTTTTATTCTAATTTAGTCTATTGTTGTGACATTGAGTTTTGTTTTGTTTTCAAATTTGCCGACAAATTGTTCTAATGTGATGTTTAATTACATTTAATATTCTTGGCACTGATGTTATTGGTATATATCAGATTCACTATATTAGCATGCTGATTTAATACATATCAAAGCAAAAAATGACAGCTGTCTCTGAAATATTTGTTTTATATAAATTGATGTCACATTAATTTAGAGAATGACACTTCAAATTCTTTTTCAACAATTTATGCTTCAAATGGTTAGCAGATACATAAAGAAAATGCAATGAATGTATGAAATATTCAAACGGTGTGCTGCATTTGTTTGAAAAACATTGTTTTGCACTGTAACATCATGTATGTGACAGTAAATAAGCGGAAAAGACATGACATGATTTAATTCATGAGCAGTTTTATCAGTGTTATCCTGGAAATGTGGCTGTTTATATTCATATTAAACCCACGCATCAATCAGCTAGTGTGCACATACAGCTCTGCACATCAGTACTCACATACAACCTCAGAAAATACTGAAAAATAATGACACCGCTCCACAGCAACCATCTAAGTGAGCGCTCAGAACATCAGTAGTAACACTGCCACCTATGAAACTTGTATCCAGTATCCACATCAGAACATATCAGCACTAGAAGATTTTACTTAAAAAAAACAAAAAAAAGCCACACATAAATGTTGTCCAATATTAACATCTGCTGGTTTTACTTTTTACGTAGCAAATTCAGGAGACTGGGGCTAGTTGTCACAGGGAATACTGTAATTTTGTAATACAGGTCAACAAGTGAATTCAAAAGTACACTGACATTAGTCGTTTTCTATGATTTTTGTGTATGTGTCAAAATGCTTTAAGATTTAAATTCTCATGAAAAAGAATTTAAACGGCCTGACATATTACTCCATACAGTGTGACAACATGCCCCCGTACTGAATTAACTGTTGTTTTTTTTCCAGGACAGTACTGGTGAAAATATCTCAATAGCTTTCTCAAGATTATAAGGTGTATGTCTATATAGAAACTGACTTTAAAAATAAACCCACCCTGAGAAATAGTCACTAAAGTTATAAAAAAAAAAAAAAGGGACAACTAGCCCAGGTCTGCTCTAATGGACCTGTAACTCTTGAATATGAGCAGCACACATTCATTGCGTAGTATAAACAGAATATGTTTGTATCTGCTCGCATTAGGCCCAAAACTTACTCCAAGCAAGTATGTAAACACAAACACTTCTTCCAAAATGTGTCAAAATCCAACTGGTAATGCAAGTGCGTTCTCAGCTTTGCCACAAGGGAAAGCTGAGAAAGCAGCTTTGCCATAGGACATTAGCATGAACGGTCTATGGTCCGTTCCAAATAATAAAATAACACAAAATAAAGCAGCAGTCCTGTGGCTGAGGTCAACTTAAAAAGATGATCTCACAGGCAAACTGTAATGCACACGACACAGACTGTAGCCTATTAAAAGCACTTCATTAATACCGCAGTAAACACACATACGCTGCCAAGATGCCTGTTGAAGAACGCATAAAATTCGCATTAAATATTGTGTACAAACATCTTGAAAATATCTGATTCACAAAAATTCACAATCATAAATGTGATAAACTGCTGAATGTCAGACAGGAAATGTTCTAGAGACGTATGGCATATGAAAACTTATACATAGATGTCTCTGCAACGTTGAGTTTGTGTGCTGTCAGGGTGGCAAAAAAGGCAAAATATCAGCTGATAATTCAGTGAGAACAGGAGCCTGAGTCAGACTTAATGTTGGCTGATAGTCTGTGTACAAAGTAACTACAAAACGCACTCATGACACGTTCTGCTACTGCATCAGCATCAACTCCCTCTATCTTTGACAAATTATGAAGAAAATGACTAAGTCTTGGTTAATTAAGCCTGCAATCAAGCGCATAAGTCTGTTAGTGTGGTGTGTGATGCCCTCTGATGGAGAATGACAGTCAGTAACACTTAAATATCCATCTCTAATGTGTCAATGATGTGTTCACTTTGGCCTCTCATTACTTATTATTGCCAGTCCAATGAATGAAGATCCCCGTTTATTACATTTGTTCACATCTGCACTGAGAATGAACACACATCCAAATACTTCACCACACATAACAACTGTCAACACTGAGAAAGAAACCTTGAATCATGAGAGAGCGAGAAAGAACGAGAGTAAAAAGACAGATTGTGGGAGAAATTGTTGAAATAAAGAGACAGACAGATATAACGAGATATAAATAGTTTGTTATAAAAAGACAGATTGTGGGAGAAATTGTTGAAATAAAGAGACAGACAGATATAAAGAGATATAAATAGTTTGTTAGATATAGGTGGATTGTTAGACAGGCAGATCATTTAAAGAGAGTGAGAGAGACAGATTGTCAGGCAGACAGAGAGATATAGATAGATTGTTAGACTGGTTGCTACACAGAGATATAAACTGACAGTGATTGTTAGACAGACAGACAAATATAGCCAGTGTTGGGGAAAGTTACTTTTAAAAGTAATGCATTACAATATTGCGTTACTCCATAAAAAAGTAACTAATTACGTTACTTAGTTACTTTTTATGGAAAGTAATGCGTTACGTTACGTTACTTTTTAAATCTGGACAGGGCTTGCTTGTTTGTTTTTAAAATAAGAGAGCTGTCAATCAATAAATTGGAAAAAGAAAAAGTAACTCAGATATTCTCTTGTAAATTAAAAAGTAATAATACTTTACTAGTTACTTGAAAAAAGTAATCGGATTACGTAACTCGCATTACCCCCAACACTGAATATAGCCATTGTTAAACAGATACGGTTATAGGCAGACAGAGAGGCAGAGAAATATAGCCAGATTGTTTGACAGAGACTGTTAAAGATATTGTTAGACAGATGGAAAGAGACAGCGAGAGATGCAGACAAACAGATGTAAAGAGATATAGACAGATTGTTAGATAATGAGACAAACATAGACATTATTAAAGATATAGGCAGACAGAATGGAAGAGAGACAGATAGATGCTTAGTTATAGAGTTTGTTAGAGATATAGAGAGATATAGACAGTGTTAGATAAAGATATAAACAATGTTAAACAGATATAGGCAGAAAAGCAGGAAGAGAGATATTCAGTGGGTATAGAAAAGAATCACCCCCTTTGAAATAATCACATTTTGTTGCTTTGCAGCCTGAAATGAAGACGGACACAGTTTTGGTTTTATCCAGCTGTATTTACTCAGTGCAACTTATAACAGTAACAAGTGAAAGATATAAGACCAACATGTCAGAAAAAACAACAACAAAAACAAACAGAAAAAAAAAAAACAATCACTGAGTTGGAAAAAGGATCACCCCCTTTGTGTCAGTATTTTGTTGAACCACGTTTTGCTTTAATTACAGCCTTTAGTCTGTTGGGATATGTCTCTGTCTCTACTAACTTTGCACATCTAGACTTTGCAATATTTGCCCACTCTTCTTTGCAGAACTGCTCAAGTTCAGTTACATTTGATGGGGAGTGTTTGTGGACTGCAGTCTTCAAGTCATTCCACAGATTTTCAATGGGGTTTAAGACTGGGCTCTGACTAGGCAATGCAATGAAATTCAACTTTTTCTCCTTCAACCACTGTGTGGTCAGTTTTGCTGCGTGTTTTGGGTCATTGTCATGTTGGAAGGTAAACCTTCTTCCCATTGACATCTTTCTGGCAGAGGGCAGCAGATTATCTGCAAGAATTTGATGGTATTTTGCCCCATCCATTGTTCCTTCTATCCTGAGAAGTGCTCCAGGCCCTGCTGCAGAGAAACACCCCATAACAGGATATTACCACTTCCATGCTTTACTGTATAGGAATGGTGATATTTGGATGGTGAGCTGTATTGGATTTCCGCCAGACATACAGTATTATTTGTTGAGGCCAAATAATTAAATTTTAGTCTCATCTGACCATAACACCTTTTTGGCCTCAGAATGTTCTAGGTGTGTTTTTGGCAAAGCTCAGTCGTGACTGCATGTGGCCTTTCTTGAGGAGTGGCTTTTTTCTTGCACCCCTCCCATACAAGCCACATTTGTGGAGAATTTGTAATATTGTTGTCATATGCACACAATGACAGCTCTTTGTCATAAATTCCTGCAACTATTTCAGAGTTGCTGTAGGCCTCTCGGTAGCCTCTCTGACCAGTTTCCTCCTGGCTCTTTCATCCATATTGGAGTGACGTCCTGATCCAGGGACGGTCTGTGTTGTACCAAATACCTTCCACTTCTTAATAATAGACTTCACTGTGCTTCTAGGCATTGATAAAGCCTTTGACATTTTTTTTTGTATCCATCTCCTGACTTGTGCCTGTCCACAACTTTATCCCGGAGATCTTTTGACAGTGTCTTGCCACCCATAGTTGATTGTTTGCTTCAGTTGCACTACCAAGGACTGAAATGCTCCAGGAAAGCTCTTTTCATGCTGAGCTGATCAAAATGACCACAGCTGATAGTCAAATGGCTTTGTGTGCCACTGAGTAGGTGATTAGCTACACCTGATTGAATTTACAAGTCATTTTTGGGAGGGGGGTGATCCTTTTTCCAACGTTGTGATTCTGTTTTTTTTATTTTATTTAATTTTTTTCCTGACAGGTTGGTGTTATATCTTTCACTTGGATGTTACAAGCTGCAGTGAGTAAATACAGCTGGATAAACAAAAACTGCGTCGTCCTTCATTTCATGCTGCAAAGCAACAAAATGTGATTATTTTAAAGGGGGGTGATTCTTTTCTATACCCACTGTAGATACTAGATGGTTAGACAGTCTGTTAGACAGAAAGGTATAGACAAAAATATAGAAAGACTGTTAGATATAGACATCAAACAGAATGAGATATAGACAGCTAGAGAGGCAGAGAGATACAGATTGTTAGATGGACCGTTTGTTAGAGATATAGACAGATTGTTAAACAAACAGATGTAGAAATAAAGATACTGCTAGATAGACAGCCAAACAGATTGTTAGACAGACAGAGGTACAGACAGACAGACTGATTGTAGAGATGAATAGACAGACAGAGAGACAGAGGCAGACAACTAGACAGAAAGACATGAGATTGATTGACAGGTAAACAGACCAATAGACAGACTCTTAGAAAGAAAGATGCAGACAGACATATTGCTAGACAGACAAACAGAAAAAAAATTGACAGATACTATATAGACAAGCAGAAATACAGATGGATGGTTAGAAACAGAGGTAGAGAGAAACAAAAAGACTGACAGACAGGCAAGCAAATAGTTAGAAAGGCGGAAAAATAGACTGAATGACAGGTTGACAGAAAGACAGACAGATTCAAGGCTTTAATCTGAAGTGCATCAGTGTTGCTGTCCATCATTTATAAGTAACAACAGACCTTATTTATTCTAGAAGTTTCCATTTGTAGGATCTGCTCTCCTTCTCACAAAAGTTCATCAATGACTTCTAATCAGCAGTTTATTTCTCGGCATCTTTGTCAAACACCACTGATAAACGTCTTATCGGATCCCTGAATGAATGGATGATCACGAACCGTGCCTCCTAATGACCCTGCAATCTCAGTTTCACTGAACACATCCATAAAGGCGCTGTCACACAGCACTCCTTCATCAGCTCATGGCAGTTATTTTATCGGTTCGCTGAACAATGTGCTCGGCTAGCTGTTGTTATCCACTGTCATGTATTTGAGAGCGGCGAAACCGTAACGCCGAGACATATTCTGCTGAAACTCCTCCTTCAGCGTCTTCAGACAAGCGCGGTACTGTTTGTTAGAGCGAAACTTGGTGATGTCAAAACTGGGCGCGTGGGGCATGTGGATCATGTAGGCGTTGGGCAGAACCACAAACTCGTACTCCTAAAAATACACAACAAACAACATTTTGCATGCTGAAAGATCAGTTAATTTCCAGAAAATAAGACCAGAAACTAAACAAAAAGGGATTTATTTAATGCAGCCTAATTACATCACAAAGCATAACATATTACTGAAACTAAGTTCAAGACCTGTAATGTCTTAAGCTAGAAATCATTTCACTCAATTCCACTGAGGATTTGTTTAGGACATTTGCTTGATTTATTTTTATTTTTTTTACAGAATTTTATATTTTAAGATTCTTTTAAGAACAGAGAGTTGTTCAACCAATTCAGTGTTTGAGGAAGTTCAAGACTGACTGATTCATGACCTTTAACCATTCCACTAAAAAGAACAGTTCTTATCATACTCAATTCAGACAGCAAACTTACATTGCACAAACACTCACACAAAATATATTTTTTGTGTTATAGAAATAGTTTGATTTACATTGGTCAGAAGAGAGAAAGATGTCAAATTTGCCATCATTCCCTCAGTCATTACATTAAAAACACTCATACAGCAGCATTAACTAGTTTCTGTAATTTAATGGCACGTTTATATCACAAACTATAGTGTTATAAATGTACATTCAATAAAAAAAAAACTATAAAAACTTTTACGATGTTAATTACGATGTCAAAATGCATCATCGCAATCTGGGAAAAAGGTCCATTTAAGGAACAGTTAATGAAAAAAAAATTTAATTTGTTGAAAATTTGCTTACCCTCAAGCCATCCGAGATGTAAATGAGTTTGTTTCTTCATCGGAAGAGATTTGGAAAAATGAACCATTATGTAATGACACTTGGTTACCAATGGATTCTCTGCATGAAGTTCCAAAGGCTGATAAAAACATCACGATAATCCACACGTTTCAAATATATCAGTTAACAGATCTATCATTAACATCTTGTAAAGTGAAAAGCTTTATGTTTGTAAGAAACAAATCCATCATCAGGTGTTTTAACTTTTAAACCGCCACCTCAAGTCAATCCCTGTTGTCCTCTCACATCAAAATGCACCAACATGTTTGTTTAGAGCTGTTTTGGACTGTTTTTGCTTGTAAATGTCACTTAATCTGTACATATGTCTCTCCTGATTCAGATTAGACAACATTTTCACTAGAAAAAGCAATATTATGGATAGAGGAATCATATTTTAGACAGAAGCAATGATTTGAAGTTAAAAATGTCTTGATGGATGTGTTTATTACGAACATGCAGCTTTTAAATTCACAAGACATGAATTGATTAACTTGATGACAAGTCATGTGGATCACTTGTGGAGTGTTGTGATGTTTTTATCAGCTGTTTGGACTCTCATTCTGACGGCACCCATTTACTGCAGAGGATCCATTGTTGAGCAAGTGATGTAATGCAAAATTTCTCCAAATCAAATCTGTTTCAATGAAGAAAAACTCATCTACTTCTTGGATTGCCTGAGGGTAAGCAAATTGTCATTTTTGGGTGAACTATTCCTTTAAAGAATGTAAGTGTTACCTGAGCGTCCAGCTCCATGATGTGAGCTACTTTATTCCACCCAAACCCCACAAAGCGCCGGTCATACTCTGGGCATTCTCGTCTGACCATTACATACGGCTCAAAGTCGGCCTCCCACTGAACTCGGTATGGTGTTGTAGCAGTTCTCCATTTGGCAAAGTCTGTTGGAGCGTGACCTTTTGTCCAGACATGATATCTGTGGACAAGCAAATTACTTCACTTTATTAAGTCAATATTGACTTTATTAAGTTATTGTAAAACTGTCAAGAATTCACTAAATAAATAAAATAATAAATATATATTATTTAGATAAGTTTGTGATTGGTTGGTTGGTTCAATCGATTAATTGATATTAACTGATTTAAAAGAATCATGAATGATTCAGTCACATCTGAGAAAATCTCATCTGCCATTCATTTTGAATTAATTAATTTGATTTAAAAAAAATAATTAATTTTTTTTTTCTTAGATGAATCACCTGAATGTGAACAGAGTGCCCATGTCGAGTTGTGACAGGAGCTCTGCTTTTGATTTGGGAAAGGACAGCCGATAGCGCAGAGTTTCAAATGCTGGAACCACAAGAGCCTTTTTAGTGTTCCCCATATCAAGCTGAACAAGCTGAACCCTGAGACAGAAACAAGATGGATTACTTGTAGAACGGACTGTAATGGATTGTACTCTTGTTACTCTTGTACTCACAACCTAAGAACATTTTGTTGGCACCAAAAAAGAAAAACATGCTTTAATATACAGTATATGGGTTTTCACTCTTGTATTTCTTATGATTTCCGAACAAAATGAGTTTTGCAATCAGCTTTAATCAGATACAATAGTATCTTACTTTACTTTACTTTGTTTGAAGCAAACATGCACTCCAGAGTTTGTTTTCAGTCACAGATCCGTGTACGATTGCAGATTTTTTTCTCTGTTATGTTATGACTTTCCTTTCCTTTTTCCCCCTCACATTATATTTAAAAAGTGCCAATTTAAAAATGTTTTTGAGCACATGATTTAATCAGAGAAAAAATTCTCTCAGTCTTTATCAGTATTCCATTATATTGTCAAGCTCAGTTGTTCATCACTGTTTTAGGTGATTTTCTTTAAAGAAAAAAAGTCCAATAATGTTGACAATATACGACAAAATATAGTGATACAAAAGCATCACTACATTCTTGCATTGCCTGCATAATTTTACCCCAAAACATTCTGAAAGTAGCTGTAACAACAAATTTAGGATTGTGGGTAGTTTATGATTCTGTCATTGAAGAAGCCATGTTTATTGAGCCCTAATTTGAATATTGTGATGACGTGTCCATCTGTGATGGTCCTACAATATTTGTGTTGATTATGATTGTTTGGGCCTTAAAGTGAAAAAATATGATTTGTTGAAATGAGTAACATTTTCAAACAAAAAAGATAAAAAAAAAAAAAATAATAATAATTCTCAAATTGTACCTGAGAATACCCCACATCGAGTTGAATACCGAAATTAAATTTGCTTTTACAATATACAAAATATTTTAAGAGAACTGTCATGTTTTGTTGAATTATAATGAGTGATTTGTTGTACAAAACACCAAAATGGAGTGGCAGTACCAGAATGTACTCGGTTCCTATTAAAATATATGTATTTAAAATGTACTGTGACTGGTTTGAAGAATGTAGCACCTGGGACTTAGTTTAGATGAGATGAAACTAAAATCGCCCCAACATCATTTTACAATTCTAAATTTAGGTTTTGTCTCACCTGAGGTACTCATAGAGTCCATACATGGGCAAAAAGTCAATATCCGACAGAAACATGTAGGGTGTGTTGACCTGCCCCATAGCAACATTACGCAGCAGGTTAACAGGGTAGAATTGGCCTTCTTTATAGACTATGTGATATCCCACGTTGCTCCTGCTCATCAGGACCTCAGAGCCCTGAGCGTATCGCAGGAACTGCTGGGCTTCAGCGTCTGAGAGGTAGAGAGCCAGACTGATGGGCCCTTCCCAGTGTTTACAGATGGCCTCTAGCATCTGAAGTCTGGAACAAGGAAACACTCCAGTAACTGACCAAAAATATATAATATATACAATTTTATACAGTGGGTCTGAAGCAACACACATTTGGTTTATATCCTTTTGCTTCAATGACAAAAGCACTGGTGCTGACGTGAGCAGTTTTGGAGCTCATACTGGATATATTTCTCTTATTTGTCAGCATATCATTCCTATGTACCTTATGGTGTTTACATAATAAAAAACTGTTATTGATAACTTTACGTTTATTTCACATAATGTAAATTCTCTGATATTTTAGAGTGTGGTTCATTATGATACAGCATATTAAGTTTGTGCGGCAAGTTAATTGGTGTACCAATAAATAATTTTATAGAGCATTCATATTTTTATTCATGTATAGTCAAAAAATTCTTCAGAACTGAGCATAACTAAAAATATATATATAAATCGCTTTTTCAGACCTGATCATACCCTAATATTTCCAGGTTATCTCAAAACTGTGGAAAAGTATACACAACAGTTTGACATACTAAATGGACTGCAATTCTGTCCCTCAGAGCCTCACTTTCATTCAAGTCAAACTAGATGTGGCATCTACTCTGACAGCCTTATTGCCCTTGAGTGCTGTAACTTGGCTGTCAAAGAGGTTATGCCCTCAAAGATGACAATGAATTGTATCCCACAGTGTTGACAAGGACGATAACCCTCCGTCACTGGCACTGACTGATGTGTAGGTTTTATCTGGGATTCTGGGGTAGCCTATACTTGCCTGACTAAATGCAGCCATCCTTCATTACACTGATCACAAAAGCTGTGAAGCTTTGACTCAATACATTTGAATCGGGTTTATTTCCAGAAGCAATTTGCCAGTTAATGTCATCAGTGTGATTAATGATGACAAAGCAGCTTAATTTAAATGAGTTCAGCCCAAAGCGTGAATGCCACTGAGTATGATCAGAAGTAGATTATAGGATACAGTGTGGTTCATTTAGCAGCAAACTAATCTCAGTGTTCATTTACAACATTAACACAGCCACTGTTACAGTTGCATGTTTATTCAGTTAAAATAATATTCAGTTTCCTTTGCATCAACAAAACTGTAGGACTTATGATTAGATGAACCGTTTTGGGCCATATCTATGAAGTCCCTAAAGTAACATTTGTCATTAAGGACCTTTGAAAGCTTTTAAAATCTTCAAAAACATCCAATTAAAACACCAACAATATTTATATTATATTATCAGTCATGTTAGAAAATACAGAACCCTTAACGTGAAACCATCTTTCACATTTGCACAAGAAAATTTCACACAAAAATAAAATTAAATAAGCACTTTACATAGACAAAAGTTGTTGTTGTTTTTTTGTGGCACCGCAATAGCTACATGTGAGGGCTCCCTATATAGACTTATTTAAAATAACTGCCAATTTTATTAAGAATCACTCCAGAAATATTGTTTATGAATTTACGATACAATTGAAAAACAGAATGCCATTAAGGACCCGGCTGAAGTCTTACTCAAGGAATATTCCATAAGTTCAACTGACAGCACGATAGCGAGCTGGTGTATAACAATATTATTAGTGTTTACATTACGAGATTTTCAAGCAATGATACGGTAACTGTCTCAGAAAATACTGTTGTCATTGGTCAGCGTTTTTTTCACTGACTGAACATGTTCAAAATGTTTTTTTTTTTTCTCAGATCATGGAATGTTTGAAAAATAACATACAAAAATCTGGTGTTGGTCTGTGTCTGTCAGTGTAGTGTGAATTAGTCTAAAGAGCACCAAAGGGACAATTATTGTGTGTTGTCAAGTCAACAAGTCTGAAGGAAAGTAGATGCGTATGCACAGGTAAGCTTCTCTGTTCAGTTGTATTTTTGGTCACACTTTATTTTAAAGGGGTCAGCGGATGGCAATTTTCCACAAGATGATATGATTCTTTAGGGTCTTAATGAAAAGTCTATAACATACTTTGGTTAAAATATCTCAATGGTAGTGTAAAACAACACCCTTTTTACCCTGTCAAAATCAGCTCTGTTTTCAGTAACCCGTTTTAGTGCATGTTCCTTTAAATGCTAATGAGCTCTGCTGACCCCACCCCTCTTCCGTGGAGTGACCAGCCGTTCTCATGAGACTGTTTACTTTAGCCGCGGAACTTGCTAACTAGCACATTATTCGGAAAGGTGATTTGCAAAGATTTATGAAAAAGAAACTTATACTCACTTCTTCTGTAGGTGAGGCTGGATCACGAATGATTCGCGCAAACATAAATGCATTTAGGTAGATCGGGGGGCGCATTCCCTTCAAAAATAAAGGTAAGCCACTGCATCTTCAGCGGCTCAGATGTCGGGAGTAAATGACGACTGCTATGTTCATTATTACATCCAACATCAAAACACCTCAATCACTTAGGAGTCATTCTTGTCTACTCCTGCTCCGGCGTCAAAACAATGGCGGCCTGATGGCAGCTCCCTCAGGGTGGGTCTAAGGTAAAACACTAGTGTCAACAATCAACAATTGTGGGAGGGCCTGGGTCTGTGTGCCTTTTGTCCAGACATGATATCTGTGGACAAGCAAATTACTTCACTTTATTAAGTCAATATTGACTTTATTAAGTTATTGTAAAACTGTCAAGAATTCACTAAATAAATAAAATAATAAATATATATTATTTAGATAAGTTTGTGATTGGTTGGTTCAATCGATTAATTGATATTAACTGATTTAAAAGAATCATGAATGATTCAGTCACATCTGAGAAAATCTCATCTGCAAATATATATTATTTAGATAAGTTTGTGATTGGTTGGTTGGTTCAATCGATTAATTGATATTAACTGATTTAAAAGAATCATGAATGATTCAGTCACATCTGAGAAAATCTCATCTGCCATTCATTTTGAATTAATTAATTTGATTTAAAAAAAATAATTAATTTTTTTTTTCTTAGATGAATCACCTGAATGTGAACAGAGTGCCCATGTCGAGTTGTGACAGGAGCTCTGCTTTTGATTTGGGAAAGGACAGCCGATAGCGCAGAGTTTCAAATGCTGGAACCACAAGAGCCTTTTTAGTGTTCCCCATATCAAGCTGAACAACCGATTTCCTGAGACAGAAACAAGATGGATTACTTGTAGAACGGACTGTAATGGATTGTACTCTTGTACAAATCACATTCACAGCCTAAGAACATTTTGTTGGCACCAAAAAAGAAAAACATGCTTTAATATACAGTATATGGGTTTTCACTCTTGTATTTCTTATGATTTCCGAACAAAATGAGTTTTGCAATCAGCTTTAATCAGATACAATAGTATCTTACTTTACTTTACTTTGTTTGAAGCAAACATGCACTCCAGAGTTTGTTTTCAGTCACAGATCCGTGTACGATTGCAGATTTTTTTCTCTGTTATGTTATGACTTTCCTTTCCTTTTTCCCCCTCACATTATATTTAAAAAGTGCCAATTTAAAAATGTTTTTGAGCACATGATTTAATCAGAGAAAAAATTCTCTCAGTCTTTATCAGTATTCCATTATATTGTCAAGCTCAGTTGTTCATCACTGTTTTAGGTGATTTTCTTTAAAGAAAAAAAGTCCAATAATGTTGACAATATACGACAAAATATAGTGATACAAAAGCATCACTACATTCTTGCATTGCCTGCATAATTTTACCCCAAAACATTCTGAAAGTAGCTGTAACAACAAATTTAGGATTGTGGGTAGTTTATGATTCTGTCATTGAAGAAGCCATGTTTATTGAGCCCTAATTTGAATATTGTGATGACGTGTCCATCTGTGATGGTCCTACAATATTTGTGTTGATTATGATTGTTTGGGCCTTAAAGTGAAAAAATATGATTTGTTGAAATGAGTAACATTTTCAAACAAAAAAGATAAAAAAAAAAAAAATAATAATAATTCTCAAATTGTACCTGAGAATACCCCACATCGAGTTGAATACCGAAATTAAATTTGCTTTTACAATATACAAAATATTTTAAGAGAACTGTCATGTTTTGTTGAATTATAATGAGTGATTTGTTGTACAAAACACCAAAATGGAGTGGCAGTACCAGAATGTACTCGGTTCCTATTAAAATATATGTATTTAAAATGTACTGTGACTGGTTTGAAGAATGTAGCACCTGGGACTTAGTTTAGATGAGATGAAACTAAAATCGCCCCAACATCATTTTACAATTCTAAATTTAGGTTTTGTCTCACCTGAGGTACTCATAGAGTCCATACATGGGCAAAAAGTCAATATCCGACAGAAACATGTAGGGTGTGTTGACCTGCCCCATAGCAACATTACGCAGCAGGTTAACAGGGTAGAATTGGCCTTCTTTATAGACTATGTGATATCCCACGTTGCTCCTGCTCATCAGGACCTCAGAGCCCTGAGCGTATCGCAGGAACTGCTGGGCTTCAGCGTCTGAGAGGTAGAGAGCCAGACTGATGGGCCCTTCCCAGTGTTTACAGATGGCCTCTAGCATCTGAAGTCTGGAACAAGGAAACACTCCAGTAACTCACCAAAAACATGTAACACAATTTTATACAATAGGTCGACACCCATTTGGTTTATCTCCTTTTGCTTTGACAAAACATGCTGACGTGAACAAAATCTAATGATTATAAACTTATTAAACAACAATACTACTACTACTACTACTACTGATAATAATATCCAAATAGAGCTGTTTTGGAGCTAGTATTTGGCATATCACCGCTGTGAGACATGGTGTTTACACAGTAAAAAATAACTATTCATAACTTTTTTACATTTTAGTATTAATAAAATAATTCTTTATCATTCTTTAGAACTGAGCATAGAAAAAAAATAAATCACTATAGATTTTCCAGACCTGATCATGCCCAAATATTCCCAGGTTTTCCCAAGAATGTGGAAACCCTAACGATTTTAATTAAGTATATACACAGTAGTCTGACTAAACGGACTACACTTCTGTCCCTCAGAATCTAACTTTCATTCAAGTCAAACTAGATTTGGCATCTACTCTGACAAACGTTTTGCCCTTGAGAGCTATAACTTGGCTGTCAAAGAGGTTATGCCCTCTTTGACAATGAATTGTATCCCATAGTGTTGACAAGGACGATAACCCTCCGTCACTGGCACTGACTGATGTGTAGGTTTTATCTGGGATTCTGGGGTAGCCTATACTTGCCTGACTAAATGCAGCCATCCTTCATTACACTGATCACAAAAGCTGTGAAGCTTTGACTCAATACATTTGAATCAGGTTTATTTCCAGAAGCAATTTTCCAGTTAACGTCATCAGTGTGATTAATGATGACAAAACAGCTTATTTTAACTGAGTTCAGCCCAAAGCGTGAATAGGACTGTGAGTGATCAGAAACAGATTATAGGATACAGTGTGGTTCATTTATCAGGAAACTAATAGTGTTTTTTATTTAGTTTAATAAACTTTAATAAACACGCTTTAATAAACAAGTCTTAAATGTAGAATTATTACAAGTGCTTTTATAAAATTATAAGCTTCTCATTTCTGCTTTTAAATCCTCCAATTGGCCCAATTCACATCCATTCAAACTGTATCACTCTAATCTAGGTTTTTTCTTTTTTTTTTCTTTAAAAACAACAAGGGACAAATTAAATGACTTTTTGTTAATCAACATTATGCTGCAAATGCTGTCGATTGAGCTTAGCTTGTATAAACGGACCCAAATATTTCTTTGAAAGCTCTTAAATGACATCATCCTCCGGGAAGTTTTGATCAACTTGATTTAATGTGCCTTATAAAAGGCTCTATTTAGCATCATGTATTAAATATCTGTTGGTGAGGTGATATGTGCATCTTTATAGAAAGTAAATGTAAGTGTGTTTTCTTACCTGTCCATAGACAGCTGGGCCACCAGTGTCACGTCAGTGTTATCTAAGTCTGGTTTGTACTCATAGTGCAGGAAATAGACATGTGTGCGGTGGACTGTGAAGCGCTCCCGACGAAACTCATAACATGGGTCATCTTCATCCAGCTCAGACAGGGTCTTTTGGAGCTGCAAGGATATTAAGAAAACAAGTGTTATTCCATCATGCTGCCTGAACAAAACCAAAAAAATCATTGCAGACCTCTGAAACAATAAAACCAGCAGTTGCCAACATGAAGCACAGTGAAGTGAAACGCACATTCTCTGAGTTGTGGTCCGTTTCGCTGGGACAGCCAAAGAGCTCTCGCCTCAGCAGATTCCCATCATACTCCAGGAATGTCAGATAGAGATTCCTGAAGAACTCCACATGTTTGTTCTTTACACGCAGTTTCTTCGGAGAGTTCCAGTGAATCACCTGCACAATCAGATGAAGAAGTTCAGAAATGTGGACCCTGCTTGACCTCTGTCTCAAACTGAACTGCTTGTGTTTCTTTATGCAGAAGTAACAATTCTATATTAAGCACACATATACATATACGGGGCAGCTACAGAAGAAATTGTTGTTTGTCTTCTAGCATAAGTGTGAGCTCCCATTTTTGTCTCCACAGTGATGTCACCTTGAGGTCGGACACATCTTTGTAGCACTTTTCGGAACGGGTGTGATCCGATAGCTGAACATTCCAAAAGCAGGGCAGCTGGTGCACCAGGAATGGGTTCTGCTTGATCACAGCATTGAAGATGTCCTGCAGGCACAACATTGTCAACTGTCATTTTGATATGAAGTTCCTTTAATTTAAAATATATTTCACCCAATGTTTGTGTTCCATATGTTTAGTAGGTATCTCAGGTTTAGCTTAGCGACTTTATAACATCAAACTCTAGAGTCTCCCATGTGCTTCTCATGAGAAACTATTTGTATGATGCATTCATCATACCAATGTCTCTAGTGAGTTGCACAATACATTATGTTCTCCTGTCTTAAGTAGACAGCAGGTCAGATTAAAACAGAGCTTATGTGTTTACCTGATCAGCGAGTGATGTAGACAGCATGCTCATGAGCTCTCTCTCTGCCGTCAGCCGCCACATCTGCTCCCACTTTAGCTTCCTCAATCGATCCAACAACAGCAGAATCACACCTTCAAAACAAACACAACATCATTTGTTGGCCATTACACTAATTAACACTTATAAAATAATGTCATTGTCCAGTTCAAAATCACAAAAACATGATTTAATTCATCAGGAACTTTAGTGTTTGTTTTAAAACTGGTCTTCCCCTTCAGATAAGCCAGATAATCAGAAACCTGGCTGGCGTACCGGTGTTAAAGCCTCTGCCTAACGCTGGCCATGGCCGATGGTTCTTCCACAGGTTCCCCAGGTACCAATCACTCTGATTCTCCACCAAACCAAGAACCTGCTGACCTGAAATGCACAAACACCCCCACAGTGACATCAATGCGTCTGTATTGACTGATCGGTAGCATCTAAGTTACGGTGAACTATGGACAAAAATCTGTGTAGTTCATTTAAAGCTCTCACGTGTGTTTTAGTCAATGACATAGGAAAAGGAAAAATCTTTTAAAAATCTGCTTTAAAACAAATGTACTATTTTGTATTTATGTTGGATTCATATGGTTTTGGAAAACTACAGTAATATTTTCAACTCTAAAAATGTCATGTGGTGCCCAGTATCAAGTAAAAAAGTATTTTCCCTTACACATTGAATAAATGTGAGTGTATACATCTAATAAAAAAAAAATTAAAAAAAACATTTGTTTTTCAGGTAAAAAGTAGTTTGGGGAGTCACACCACATGACATGAAGATCAGAACAAATGGTCAATAAGACAAGGACAGCTCTAGCTTTCCTAGCATACATTCTTCAAGACACAGTAATCAAATGTATTCAACAACAGTGTGTCGTTGTTTCTAAGCAACAGGATTTCACGTCAAAGGCCGGTACAGTTCGCCAACCCGCATTTGGCTGGTGATGTGTGCATATGCCAGTCATGGGCCAATGTTCTGTTGATAAAGCTTCAGGCATAAGATCAAATGTAGTTAGTCACAAAGGCTGGTTCATTACTGAAATCACTGATCACTGTGGTTGCTGCGGTCAGTGTCTGGTGGAATAACCTGTGACATTATTGATCTGAGCTGCAAACATGTGCCTCATTTAACATTAATGATAGTCTCAACTGACAAAACGTTGTCTTGTTATGGCAAGTATTTCTGTGGGATGCACACAGTTTTCACAGGTTTTCTGATCTTCACCAGCCACAAAACTTGAATTATTTAATTAACAACATTAGTGAATATCAAATGACAAATAAACGTAATAATTTCAAATGAATGTTAACTCAAAAGTACCTTTGAACTTGTGGAAAACGACCCACAGCTCAGCGATGTCTGTGGCAAAGGTGATGTCAGTATCCAGGACGATGACCTTCTGTAGGTTAGTGGGCAGTGTCTTGGTCAGCACCAGCTTCATCAGGCCGTAGATGCCAGAATAATGCTTGTTAGGGATCCAAGAGACCTCAGACTGATAAACACACAAAGAGCAAATATGAAACATCAAATGAAATCAAAAACTGCAAGACCGCAACAAAGAAAAAAAAAAGAAGCAAGGAACAAATAATCATCAAGGGACTCAAATGTATGTAATATCACAGCCTTTCAGAGGGTAACAGTCAGGTTCTGGACATAAAAATCTGAATTATTTTTGCAAAGTCTTGCATGTTCACACCCAGACTAACCAAATTGGTTTTCATGCTGGAGCTAGTACTCAGCTGGGGGATCTACAAATCTCTCTGGAAAATATCCAGTGAAAGCAGCAGAGCATTGTATGTAGTACATACAATTAAGTGTCACAGTGTTTTACATGTCAGACGTGTGCATTCGGATTATTGATGTATAAATTCGCACATTACAGAGCACCAGCAAAGCGTAAGAAAAGATTACGGTTAGAAATAGCAAATATTAACACTGCTCTGATTCATTGTTAAATTATTTGCCTATATGACAGAGCCTATTACTCCCTTGTACGACTGACAATTGTTAACAGTTTTAGTTACATTAGAGTTACATTACATCACTGTTGAGGTCTATTGAGCAAACCAGTATCCGCACAAACCTTCAGCTCATCAGCGTCATAAAAGTTTACATGAACGGCCGGCACCATCCAGGTGTGGAAGAGATCAGCCAGGATCTTCCGAGCGATGGAGTCCGTGATGAAATGGAAGTGGAGAGGGTTCCGTCTGACACACAAAGAGAACAAACGTTTCCTGTCATTTCATATTGACTAATTCACCCAAAAATGAAAATTCTCATATAATTTATTCACTTTTCATTACTTTTTATTATATACAAAAAGCTAGGATATTCAGAAATTCACCTACTATGCCAAAAAGGTCATTAGATTGAAATATCATTAGGAATAAAAGATATCATCGTCATTGCTGGCTGAACTCTTGCTTTTTTCCTTACAAACTAAGATGAGTGTAATACTGGCACCACAATAAAACCACAACAGCACAGTAAAGTAATTTGACTGCATGTGATAAAACAGTGAAAAGTCATTTTATACACTGCATTACTGGAGGGTGTATAAGCAGAGAGCAGCATATCAGTAAAGCTGATGATGAAACCTAATTCTAGCTTTACTACTTTTTACACTGCATTGTAGAATGAAAGAAATTTCAGTCTTACCAATAACACTTACAAAGCACTTGGACACTCGAGCTCTGTTCAAAAACTTACGGAGCTACATTGCTGTCTAAACATGCAGCAACCTCCTAAGGCAGCATCCTAGCTGAATACTGCTCACTGTAGGGAGCAGTGAATATCCTGTGAATGTGGACACAGCCACAAACTCTAAATTTACCTGTGAAACAGAACTGACTTGACCAAAGTGACAACATCTCTGCTCGCATTGTACCCCGCACACACAATGGCAATATGAATGGTCTGTGACGAGAAAGACAAGTAGTAATTAGAACAGTTTGAAGCAGCATTGATGCGTTCAGTGTCTCACCACGAGCGGCCCGAGGGGGCCTGGCAGAAAAAGGGCCACTTCAGTCCCTGTACCCCCTTCACCTTTCCGATTTCTACCGAGGGGGGAACCCCCCCAGAACGCATTTTCTACCGAGGTCCCCTCTGGTGCCGACTCCATACATTGCAGTTCACAATTTCAAAATATGCCACTACAATTTTATGAAATCACATCTTATTCAAATACACAAAGTAGGGAAATGCCAACGAACAGAAACTGTTTTCTGGAAAGAAAATTAAGACATAATTCTAGGTTGCTATACAGTTTCTAGGGTTTCTCAATGGTTGCTAGGGTGTTATGCAGTTGTAGAGTGTTCTGGGTGGTATCTGTGGTGTTGTCTGGTCACTTAGTTAAGAAACAGCACATCTCTCCTCAACAAAACATATGATTTGAGGAAGCTGAAGATGTCAGGGTTAGAGTCTTGATAGTGTGTGAATCTGTTCAGCGTAAGGTCCTGATTCAGGATACTAACCTCACATTTGTTCACCACAGGCTGAGGCACACAGTCCGAGCTGTTGCCCGAGGCAACTCCTTTTTTAGCCTCGCTATCACCTGTACCCTCTTCTGTGGAATGGGTGTGTAACTGGTTGCCTTGGCGACTGTTGCTATGATGGCTGCTATGTGTTGGAACCCTGGGTGGCAGGCTAATCTCTCTCCGCAGCGCATGGTTATGTTCTTCCACATCTCGTAGCTGCAGCTCCAAATCCTGATGCTCAGCAGCTGCTCCGATCAGCACAGATGACTGAGGATCCAGCGGCGACAGAGGCAATGGTTTGACTGAGGGGCAAACACACAGACAGTCGAGGATCACTAAACATCTGTACAGCAAACCACAACTACTGCACTAAATCTGTTAATTGTCCATCTTTTGATTGCAGATGTCACTTTTTTAAGGAGTCTGATTTGAAAAAAAAAATACAAAAATAAAAAACATACAGCGCTTGATTCACAAATGAATGGCTCTTAAACAGATTATTTTAATCAATCACACATACACATATTAAATATTTATTTTATAAAAAAATATATTATTAACAAATATAACAAAGTATTTTTTATTTATTTATTTTTAATTTTTTTACGATAACAAATAAATTATTCCTAAATTCCCTAGTAAATAAACTGAATACTTGAAATTCATTCACTGTGCATATAAAAAATAATTACATGTTGAGATACTTGCATACTTGTGTTCATTAATATGAAATTAATGTCTCAGTTGTCAATTGGTCTTACCCACATATTGAAGACCACAAGTGCAAGAAAGTAAATTTCAGCTGTAAATAATTGTAATATACCTTCTGAATTAAGTAAAAACAAATACAATTTAAGGAGATCTGAAGGATCTAAAATATATTTAATAGTATGACATTAAAAGAAATTGAGTACGCTGCAAATCCCAATAATTCAACAACTCATCACCACAATGGTAACCATCAAAACTGCCACAGAATCCCCTATAAACGATTATTTAACACTAACAAATCTCCCAATATATCAATCTTGTGTGATAATACACAAACACTTTACTTCAACATTTACACACCTAATACAGTCAAAAGCAATGCATGATGGAGAAAAATAGATTCTCCCCCTCTGCGGTCAGTTGTTAATTTTGCCTATAGGTCATGAGGTTTATCTATGCAACTCACTCAAATTTTTGAGCTGTTAAAGTTAAATATGAAGAATATTCAAAGCGAATGAGCAATAATTGTAGTTCTTGAAACAGATCAGTGTAACCACTCCGTTTTCAAATATTTTGATTAAAATGTACCAAAAATATTAAGGATATCTTAAAAATATAATTATATTTGATATAATCAAATGCTAAGTTCTTTTTGTTGCATTTATTTTAGTATGTTCAATTTAAACAACCACTTAAAATACATTGAGATATTTAATTAAGGTAGTACAGCTTTTTATTTTTGTGATATGTACAATTGCACTGAATTATTTTTAGAGTGTATTTGATATAATCGAGGTTGCTTGCTCATATGTTTAAAAAGTTTTAAAACACGAGCTGATAACGTTTCACAAAAATGTTTGCTTACCATTTGAAAGCAGCAAAACTCTATGTAACCAAATGGCAATTATTATATTTGTCTTTAAAAAGGTATTTCTAAGCACAAACTGCGTTAACAGGAATGTACTGCAAGAACACTTCAGAATGTGTAGAGCAGGGGTCTCCAACACGTCGCTCATGAGCTACCAGTAGCTCGTGGCCTGATTGAAGGTAGCCATATCGGCCTGTGGTTATTTTGATTATCCCGTTTCATATTTTTATTATCATTAAACCCGTATTTGATTATCGCGATTTGAAAACTCAAGTAAATATTGTTCAGCTTTAATCTTAATTTAAGTTATTAAGAGTCTCAGACAGGCGCAACATGCAGAGTAGTTTCGTTTTGTGTGAAAGCATGACTGAAGGCAGACTGCTGAGGGAAAGAATGTATATGTATATGAAAGAATGTATGATTAAATTATTTGTATGAATGCATAATAGGAAACTGACTGTCTTCAGAAAAGTTTTGATGGCATTTGCTTTCCATTTTCCCTCAGTGTAATGAGTAATAAAGCAGTGTTTAGAAGCACAGCACAGCTTTGTTTACAGCTGTTACCATGGAAACAGCTCTGTTCTGCTCAGTGTTGCCAAGTCCGCGGTTTTCCTGCAGAATTGGGCTACTTTAACACTGCTGCCGCGGGTTGTTCTTCATATCCACGGGTTGAAACGACCCCAATAACGTGACATTTAGCCCCTAAAATGCGAATTTTACCAGGGGAACCCTGCCAAAAAACCTGTATTTTATCCCCCGGAATGCATTTTTTTCGGGGTACCCCCTCGAAACAATTGGGCTAGTTTTGGGCAGGGGTTAAAGCAAAAAAAAAAAATCCTGAGCCTGAACTTTTTTCCGGGGGTTGGGGGTTGCGGGGGCGAACATACACAGGGTTATTTGGCAAACAAAAATTAACATTATTTGAAAATGATTTTCCTTGAAACTAACTACACTGAACAAAATTATAAACGCAACACTTTTGTTTTTGCCCCCATTTTTCATGAGCTGAACGGAACCCTGCCAAAAAAAACTGTATTTTATCCCCCGGAATGCATTTTTTTCGGGGTACCCCCTCGAAACAATTGGGCTAGTTTTGGGCAGGGGTTAAAGCAAAAAAAAAAAAATCCTGAGCCTGAACTTTTTTCCGGGGGTTGGGGGTTGCGGGGGCGAACATACACAGGGTTATTTGGCAAACAAAAATTAACATTATTTGAAAATGATTTTCCTTGAAACTAACTACACTGAACAAAATTATAAACGCAACACTTTTGTTTTTGCCCCCATTTTTCATGAGCTGAACTCAAAGAAAAAGTCTTAGATCTTTGAGTTCAGCTCATGAAAAATGGGGGCAAAAACAAAAGTGTTGCGTTTATAATTTTGTTCAGTGTAGTAACGTATCTGCCATTAGCCCTTGACAGGCTCAGTCTACAGATTATGGTGGGATATTTGAAACAGCAATACCAGGAAAGTTTACTCACTACATATGGTGCAAACACATGTACCATTTAGGATGCTTTTGATATCAAGTTTTGCTGGTTAGCTTTGTCCTTGACAGGGTACAAGATGACCTACAATCTAAAACATTAAATTTCAGAAATTGTTTTGTTCAAAAGAAATAATGGTAAATTAAATACTAGGAAATGAATATAAAATAAGAAAAGGTACAAGATGACCTACAATCTAAAACATGAAATTTCTGAAATTGTTTTGTTCAAAAGAAATAATGGTACATTAAATACTAGGAAATGAGTATAAAATAGGAAATATACAAAGACAGTTTACTACAGAAAACTACAGTTCAGTTCAATTAACAACAACAGAAACATTAAAATGGTCCAAGAACTGGTAACTTAAACAGGGTTCGTACAGATACTGTAAAATAAAATTCCAGGACTTTCAAGGACTTGCACTACTTTTTTGGTTTTCAAGGATGCAAAAAATGCAATGAATGTGGCAACTTTAACATTTGAAAGAATACTATGGCAAAGTTATCGCTTTCCTTATTCAAACTGATTTTTTTTCATGAATATATGATTGACCTAAAGAATAAAGCTATATCATACACTTGGAAAATTATGAGCTTTATCACGCTCACAGACACTAGGGGTGTGACAGGTGAGACAAAATGCAGAAACTTGATTCACTAGAATGAGACAATGTTTTAATACTTTAAGAAATGTTCAAATGACAAAATATTTGTCTTTTAATCACAAAAAGTAAAACAATGCACTTGTATTTTGAAATGTTTTAACTAATCGAGGGCTTAAAGCTGCAGTCCATAACTTTTTTGTGTTCAAAATTTATATAATAAGCGAGCACACCATGAATCCATTTTCCAAACAGTGTTTTTGGCTTGTCCTGAATCACTACGGTACACCTATAATAAGTGTTTATATTC